GGGGGGGGGGCCTTCAAAAACGGACAGGGGGGTAGGGGGTGTGTTTTGGGGGTGAAAAACAGCGGACGTACTTTATGGATGATCCCTTACCCGAAATACCCTATTCTATATGCCAACCCTGGCGGTGAAGAACGAACGGCGGGCGAACGGTGCTCAAGTGGAATCCCGCGCGGCGCCTTGCCACTTCGTGGCGGAGTGCGCTGCCGTTGGGGGGAAACAGAGAGAGGCTGAGGAGGGGAGGGGGCATGTGTCGCTCGCCGCGTCGGGGAATAGCTGAGCCGAGTGAGCCAGTCTCCTGCCGGCGGCGGGCCGGTCGCGATAACGCTGTGCTGTGCGCCGGTCAGACGCGGGATCGAGTGCTGCGCTGCCACAGGTCTGCCGGCGTGCTCTCGACGATCACCAATCGTGCCCGCAGGCTGGTGCCCACTGCTGAGGAGTTAAGTTCGGTACGTTCACCTTTAGTTTTCGGTACAATAGGGTAATTTCAAAAGACCATTCTACAGACTGTGGAAAAAGAAAGAAAAGAATCAAAAACCACCGGAAACAGTATTGATAAACAGATCAAATCGTTCACTTTTTCTAGTTTTCTTGTTGGTGTGCCATAGAGGTGTACACAAATAATCTACATACTGGTTTTCGGTACTGTTTCCGGTACTTTTTGATTCTTTTCTTTCTTCTTCCCCTTTCGGTGGAATGGTCTATTGAGCATTCCTATGAAGCTGAAATGAAGAAGACTATGCGAGGAAGAAGAAAACGGAAATCACTATGCTTTGACATCGGACTTCCGTTTTCCTGATCCCTGCATTCCTCTACATTTCAGCCGGTCGACGACAAACGGTTGTTAAACAGATGCCTTACTGTTGTCATTGGCTGAGCGATTAGCGAAGCCTATTACTCCAGTAATGATCAAAAAGTTTCGCGCCTGTCTGTCTGTCCGTCTGTCTGTCTATGCCCACGATAACTCGAGAACGAATAGGGTATTTCAATGAAGCGCTGGCCGGAACTTAGAAGAACTAAAACGGATACAGAGAGCCTCCCCTCCACCCGCCGCTTCTCCGCGCGCTCGCCCTTACCACCGCTCTCTGTATCCGTTTCTGTTCTTCTTAGTTCCGGCCAGCGCTCCATTGAAATACCCTATTGAGCTAGCGACCTGGGATTTTCAGGGTCGTTTTGTGTCATAAAAAGACAGATCAAGTTCGAAGAAGAGCATTCTATCTCGAAAATTGCATTTTAAAAAAATCAAATACCACAAGTCCCCATAATGACGTTAGTGAAAAATAATTTTTTTTACTGTCTCCGAAGGGGTTACTCATCAATATTTGTTGGTCTCCAGTAGGGTAACTCGTTAAAATAAAACCCCGAGGAACAAAATTTGTGACTTTTGGGGCCGAATGCCTACTTACGACTTTTGCCCGACTCGGGTG